TTTTTTTCTCTCGTATCAGTGCAATCATACGAGTATCATTCATTTCAATCTACAAGCAAATACTAAATTTTCAATATATTATTTATTATATGACATCTATAATAACAGAAAACCACCAAGAAACAATTAAATATTAACTGGAGGGGTCATGTGCTCAAATAATAAAAGATAACGAGGAAATAGACATTAGACAAAGAATAGACAAAGAATAGGCCGACAGGCGATATCAGAAATGATAAATTTGAAAATTGGCACCTACAGAATTTACTCATTTCAATAATTAGTGCCATTATAATGAAACTGTTTTGTGTTAATTTCAAATTTTTCATTTATAAAATTTAAAATCATTTTTTAGATTTAATCTGAAGATGAAAAAATGCATTCTAAATAGAGTATAGTATAGGTTCTTACTTTAGTTTTGTGTATTTCAGATCGAATAAAAAACAACCCCCAAAAAAGCGCATTTATTTTCATAAATTGCTTGTCATTCACAATTGTAAATATTAACAATTGCCTTACACAATTGACTTACACAATGCAAATTAGGTAGATAAGGTAGTAAATTAGCTAAATAAACAATCTTACCATAGATTCAACATCGTGAAAATTGCGTTTTTACTCTCAACTTTGAAATTTATTATTTGCAATTTGACATTTTTAAACACTTTTATAATTGCACTACTGTATAATGAGATGAATTTTAAAAGACGCTGGATTGGTACCAAATAAAATGATGTACATAGCATGCTCTAAGTTATAATTTAAAAAAAATATCATGATCAGTCCCTACGGTATAATATAAAAATAACATATAGCATCTGCGGGTGCGAATGGATGGGGAACTGCGGCACGTTTTAAAAGACGTCTCGGAGACCAGGAAAGCTTTAGTCAGGCGTACGTGCACTCTGCAGGATCTCGGCAAAGGTGTTTGCAGTTCTGAAATATCAAAATAACATTTAAAAGGCGATATTTCATTATTCGAAAGCAGAGAATCCGTTTAAAGATTAGAAAATGGAAAAACCTCTGCTCATGCCGAAAAAAAAGCACATTGAGGCTAACTGAACACCAAATCTGAAAAGTCGACTGAACGGGGTTTGTATGCAAGATTTAGACGGCTAACATACACAATCAAGTCATCGTGAAAAACTTACACAGCTTTCTCTCGATTGAAAATATGGACATCTTTTTTAAAATACTGGTAAAACTGAACGCACTGTCATATTGATCAGTTTGTAATGTAGGCATCTGAGAACGTTCACACCAATAGGCCTATATCAAGTAGGCCTACATGTACTATGGAGTTTAAAGTATGAAATGTGTTCAGGTGGCCTAATTACGTACAGTGAGTGACATTGAAGTGACAGCATCTGGGCAACAAAAATCAAACAATCTAATATAACTTTCTTCATATTATATTTGTGTTTTTACTGGCAGCACGTGCTTTTCAAGATTTTTAAAGATATCACTATGCAACTTTTCTCAAATCCAGTCAACTACTCAGGCCAACTTAGAGTTTAGAACGAGTAAAATAATAAGAAATTATTAACTGATACATGAAGTTTGAACTAGTAAAAAACATAAAAAGCTTTTACTCACATGACAAATTTGTTGCAATTTACGAAGCTGAATGAAAATTCCGGCCTCTGCGACTTCATCACACATGTCAGCGTCCTGTCCTTACAGTGTGCAGCTGTCAAGTGACCAGTCAAGAAGATACGAGTAGTGCGCACTGCGCTGAGTGCCTTACTGTTATGCAAATTACGACGGGTTCGGCACATTTTGATTGAGGGGGTGCTGTTGAAATCAATTAATCATTTTCATTTGAATTATAGTCTGGTTTATTTGAAGGCACAATAAGTATCCATCTCGAAAGAGGATTAGGCAGGGGCGGATCCAGGATTATTTGAAAGGGGGGGGGGGGGGGGGGGGCGGAACCAAAGGCCCCGGATGAAAAGCTGACCACCCCCCCCCTTGGGGGGGGGTTGGGGG